CCCCCCCCCCCCCCCCCCTTACCCCCACCTTCCTTCCTCCCCCCCCCCAAGGCTCGCCCTGGTGCAGCGAGGGAACGGCGAGTGTCAGGGAGAGTCCCATCCCTCACAGGCGCAGGTGGTGACCTGGTTCCTCCTCCCATATCTCCCCATATCTCCCCATATCTCCCCATATCTCCCCATATCTCCCCATCCCTCACAGGCGCAGGTGGTGACCTGGTTCCTCCTCCCATATCTCCCCATATCTCCCCATATCTCCCCATATCTCCCCATCCCTCACAGGCGCAGGTGGTGACCTGGTTCCTCCTCGCTCTCGCCTTCTGGCGCCGCAACTCCCGCAACCTCCCCACACCTCCCCAAACCTCCCCATATCTCCCGATACCTCCCCATATCTCCCCATATCTCCCCGTACCTCCCCGCCTTCTGGCGCCGCTCACCTCCCTGCCGCCGCTCGGCTGCGCTCACCTCGGCTCACCCCGGCTCACCCCGGCTCACCTTTGGCTAGGCGCCTCCTGCTGCCCGCCGTCGGCCGCGCTGCCGTGAACAGCGGCTCTTCACAGCTAGAGATTTGAACAGGCGCCTCCTGCTGCCCGCCGTCGCCAAGCTGCGCGCGCCCGCCCTCACCGCGCTGCTCTTCGCCCACGGCGCCGAGATGGGCCGAGATTGGCCGAGATGGAGATGAGCTGAGCTGCGACCTCGGCACAATCTCGGCTCATCTCGGTGCGCCTCGGCTCATCTGACGGCCAGGCGCCCTCTTTGTCGACCTCGGCACAAACTACCAGAACTGGCTCTCTTTTCTACCGTACTTCTTGGCAGGCCACTTGCTGCCTCCGTCGTGCTGGCGGGCCGAGTAGCCGAGAGGACGTTGGGGCATGGCGAGGGGGGGCGGGGAGGGAGGGCATGGGGAGAGAGGAGAGGAGGCTCGAGGGGAGTAGAGAGGAGAGGCGAGGCGAGCAGAGGCGAGGAAGCAGAGGAGAGGAGAGGAGAGGAGAGGTGGGGAGAGGCGAGAGGAGAGGGGGCGGAGAGGGGAGGAGGGGGGGAGGAGAGCAGACCCCCGCCTCCCGTGGTTCGGCAGAGGCTAAGCCGAGCCTGCCCGTGATCTCGCTCACAGGTCGACCGCAGCCCGACCGTCGCTGCGGCTCGGCTGCGCCTCCTCGCCTCGCCTGGTCCATTCGTATTCAGTCACCAGTGAGTCATACTCAGTCAGGCTCGGCTGCGCCTCCTTCCTCGTCGCCGCCTCCGCCGGCACGGTCGCCCTCGCCCGCCGCGGCGAGCGCGGCTTCGGCGGAGTCACCTTTGCCGACGCCTTCGCCGGCGTGAGCGAGACGCGCGGCTGCCTCGTCTCTCCTCGAGCCGCCGGGCCGTGAACGGCGTCTCTTCACGGCGGCACCTGTGGACACAGGTACGACTGCTTCAACGGCACGACACTTCCTAGACACTTCCTACTTTGAGCCACTCTGTCTGTGCAGGTACGACTGCTTCAACGGCTTCGCGCCCGACGCGGCGAGGCGGCGCGGAGGCTGCGCCACGCTGCGCGCCGCCGGACAGCGCGCAGCCTTCTACGCCGCCTCCGCCCCGCTGATGGCGCGTATCTCCCCGTATCTCCCCATATCTCCCCATATCTCCGCCCCGCTGATGGCGCGGCTTAGTGTCGGCGAAGTCGGGGGGCGGAGAGAGCCACAGCAACAGGGAGAGCCCCTCCCGCACCCTCGCGTTGCTGCGGCGAGCAGGCGGGATTCTTCTCCGTGCTGCCCCGCGCCGCCGGGTGGTGGTCGCACCCGGGCCACATGTCAATGTTCATCTACCTGCTCCACCCGCTGCTCATCACCAACCCGTGCGCAAGCTTGCCCCCGATTCGCGAGACTCGCCGAGATTGCCCGAGCTTCAGCGAGCTTGCCCAAGACTTGCGCCCAAGACCCCCCTCATTCCTTCGTGCACCGAATCGAGGTACGTCATGCGCGCCGTCTTCGAGCGGCTCTCCGCCCTCAGCGGGCGCGAGGCAACTCTGCTCTGGCCCTGCGCTCTTCACCGCTCCCTCCCTCTTCCTGAATCGCGGCTCCTCCTTTAGGTCAACGTCTGGTCCCCCGCCGACGACGGCGCGGTGGTGAGCGCCGTCCTCCCCGCGTCGCTCGCCGTCTGCGCGCTGCTGTCGACGCCGCCAGTGCGCCGGCTGTTGTGGCCGCTCACACAGCCCCCTTTGAGGTGGATGCTGCGGAGGGGGGCCGTGCCCGCGTCTCGCCGGGGCCCCGCCGCGAGGGGGGAGGGCGGCTCGAGCTAGCACGCGCCGGCTCGTGCGCGGGGCATGTACCCGTACGAAGTACACAGTCAGAGAGAGAGAGAGAGAGAGAGTTAAAAAGAGCACCGGCTCGCGTACACATATTTATGCGCGGGCGCTGCTGGGGAACACCTCTCTTCAAATTTACGTCAGTACGTTACACAGTAGTGTGATCAATAGGCTAATCTTCCAAGCCTTTAGTGCTCATGTGTAGTGTAAAACTCTCGCTCGCACATGAAGAAAGAAGACATGAAATATTCCATATTTTGTGTTGCCCAACTACAAAAGAATTTTGCCCACCCGCCACCCCGC